AACCCTAAACCCTAAACCGCCGTTGTCACTGAAGAGCTTCCTTCGCCGTCAGGAGCTCGCCGTCGGCCTCAAGTCTGAGGAGCACCATGAGCTCATGGAAACGCAGTGCCGAAGCTGCAAGGAATCCTGGTTTAGGGTTTAGGGTTTNNAGGCTATAAGGTAATCCCAAAAAGGAAGTACTATGGGGTAGAGCTTGTACTGAAGGTTTGGGTGGGGAACGCAGTGCCGAAGCTGCAGGGACCCAGAGAGCCCAATACCCCTTAAAAAAGGCTACCGTAAATTATAGGGGCCGTTAATATAGGGATTTAAAGTATAATACCCTCTAAATAAGGAATATACCTTAAATTATAGGGGCCTTTGATATTAGGATTTAAGGTATAATACCCTTTAAATAAGGAATATACCTTAAATTATAGGGGCCGTTAATATAGGGATTTAAGGTATAATACCCTCTAAATAAGGAATATACCTTAAATTATAGGGGCCTTTGATATTAGGATTTAAGGTATAATACCCTTTAAATAAGGAATATACCTTAAAGTATAGGGGCCTGAATATTATGATTTCAGGTATATTCCTTAGTTAAGGAGTATTGGGCTCTCTGGGGAGTGGAAGCTCAGCACCGGCGATTCCAGTCTTGAAGCCGCTTGTGAGCGTCGCTGCCAGGTCTTCTTCTGGAATTCTGGCAGATTTCATTGAGCGGGAGAAGGCAGGACTTTCCTGCGGCCCTCGTTTCGCGCACCATTAGAGGCCTTTGCAGTGCTGAGAAAGGGACATACTTCATTGTTGACCCTGCACAGGCTAAGGACGGTCATTGGAGGTTGACCAACGAAAGGCGGGCTTTCGCGGCGTGCTACTTGACCTTAAGCAGCGCCATGGAGAGCATCGCAGGTGGTTGTTCTATTTCCTCGCGACCAAACCCAAGCTGTTCGTTGGCAGCGCTGCCGACCATGCTGCTCGGCCTCTCGATCTTAGATCCCATGCAGCCTTTGAGCAGACGGGAGTATAACCCACAAATGGGTCCCAAAACCCTAAACCGCTTAGTTGCGAGAGCGTAAGCCGCCTGAAACCCAAGGGGCTGGAAACTAGTGGGCACAATATTCCCGTGCCCTACAGCCTTGCAGAAGTTACAGGCGTAGACATGTGGGATAGGGTTGATCGATGGGACGAGGTGGGCTTTGCATGATGCACCCGCCAAGGATTGACAATCCCACCAATAACAATATGGCAAGACGCTGTTTACCGAGCCCATATTGATACCCGAATGTAACAACTTCCCTGGCTTTCCCGATCCGGCGAAATCTGTCTTGAAAGGTGACGGCTGAGGGTACTTGTCGAATACTTTCGGTTCCAGGATGGGCTTGGTCGTGTGCTGTGGTCCAGATTCAGAAAAAGCGGGCTTTGCCGTATTCGCTTGAGCTTGCACGGTACGCTCGAGCCCAGGATTTGTTTTCCTTCTCTAGGCGGCTCCGTTGGGGTTGAAGCTTTCGAGTAGTTTGTTCTCTACCCATCGGATTGGGCTGGAATTAAGGGTGCTGGGTGAGGGTCGGCGAGGACCGGGACATCTCTGGAGTCAAAATCAGTTGCCTGTTGCACATGGGGGTTTCCGAAAATAGGGGACCCTAATATAGTACCCTAAATAATAGGATCCCTATTATAAGGACCCCAAAATAAGGTACCCTAATTTTCTGAAACTCCCACATGGGTTTGGAACCAGGCTCGGGGCATCCTCCTGAGGGAGCAGCTTGAGTGCGACTTGGCAATCGAGCGGTTGGGGCTGGGAAGTGATGTTCCATCAGGCCTTCACAGAACTTCATGGTTCTTGCTCCGGGGTGTTTGCAAGTCGACATTGTGTCTAAGCTGACACGGGGTTGTAGTGTGATAGAGGCAGCAGGGCGATGGTGGCGATAGGCCAGGTTTACTGTAAGTTTAAGATGCAAACAGAAAGTCGCAGGCAGCTCTTAGTAATAGTAGCTCCGCCGAGCAGCTGGAGCATGTTTCTGTAATTCACGATTGACCCGCTCAGGTGACCTGATGTCCAACATTGCCATGCGCTTACTCGTGATAAGAACTGGTTTGCAAAACCAGCTTTAGTTTTTGAGTTCGGGCGCCCAGCAAATTGAAAGGATTAGGATACTGCGGCCGGGGCTCTTAGTTCTCTCTTGCTTACAGTAGCAGCCGAAAGAAGGATTCGATTTCGTGGGCTGCTTGCACAATCGCCGGGGGTCCGCCTCTCCACGGTTGTGGTGCAAGGTGGCCGAGCGCAAGAAGGAGATGTCTTCCTTTCTGTCATGGGCCTATGCCTTCGGATTTCCTTTTCTGTTGGTGGGTCTAAACGTGAAATCTCCAAACGAAAGCGCCTTAAGTGAAGCTTTCTATGTAGAAGATGGGCTTCGCTGTGGGGTTGCATATTTGGTGTAGTAGCCTGGCCACAACGCAGGCCAGCAGATTCCTCGACCTTGAGGCTCAACTACCCATCCCTGGCGTATACACTTAGGAAAAATGTCGGTCTGATAGTGTCAGCACCGAGACCACAGTATTTGCATCTTCATGGTCCATGGCCGACCGCGCCGCCCTCGCCGTCACAGTGGTCATCATCATCACCACCACCAGCAATGGTGTTTATGAGTAGGTCCTTTGTCAGGCATTCATCAGCATCAGCTGCATCATCACCACCATCATCATCATCATCATCTCACAGCCGTGACCGCCACCAGGTACCCTACCCAGAAACGTCATCGTCGTGCTCAGCAGCATCAACAGCACCATTCTATCATCACAGTCGTAGTAGTAGTCGTCGTCGTAGTGGTAGTGGCAGAGGTAGTGCTAGTGCTAGTGGTAGTGGTAGTAGTAATCGTCGTCATAGCAGCAGCAGCAGGAGGAGGAGGAGGAGGAGTAGTAGCAGCAGCAGCAGGAGGAGGAGTAGTAGTAGTAGAAGAGTGGCAGAGTGGCAGAGTGGTAGAGTAGCAGAGTAGCAGAGTAGCAGTGGCAGTAGCAGCAGCATTAGTAGTGGCAGTAGAAGTAGTGGTGGTTGAAGTAGTCGTAGTCGTAGACGTAGTAGTCTAATTATTAGTCGCAGAAGCAGTAGCAGCACCAGCACCAGCACAGCAACAGTGGTAGTGGTAGTGGTGAGCTGGTGGTGGTGGTCGTGGTGGTGGCAGTAGCGGCAGTGGCGGTGGTGGTCGTGGTCGTAGTCGTAGCAGTAGCAGTAGCGGCAGCAGCAGGAGTAGGAGTAACAGCATTAGCAGCAGCAGCAGCCGCATTGACAGTGGCGGTAGTGGTCGTGGTGGTAGTGGCGGTGGTGGTAGGGCAGGAGGAGGAGGAGGCGGAGGAGGAGGAGGAGTGGTGAAACAATGATGATGAGGAAAGTTGTGATGCCTTTAACTTGGACAGCGATGACGACACCCCCGGAAAGAAGCTTTCCGTCGGCCCCACTCCAGGAGGGTGTGATGCGATCCACCGGCGTCCGAGAATTCATGTCACAGGCGACTTTCAGGGTCGTGTTTGCATTTGGAATAGTGAGTAGGAACTCGACAGAGTGGAGGGACCAAGAGAGCCCAATAGCCCTTCAATAGCCCTTAGTTGAGGATTTTACGTTATATCATATTCCTTCTTTAAGGGGTATTAGGCTCTCGGCGCCATTCGCATTTTCTGTGACTTAAGGTGCGTCGGTCGAGCGAAAGTAGGAGGAGGAGGCTGCAGGATGCAGAGCTCAACGTAGAGTTACAGCATGTTATTACCAACCTCTGCTATAATTACACTGCAAGATAAGATACTCTAATGTACGGTAGGTCTGGATCCTCGCCTGCTTGTCGAGTGCGAGTGCCAAAATATTAGGAATCTAGGAAGTTCTTGGGCCTGGGCATTGGGACGGAAAGAGTAAGGCCGAGCAGCTGTGCAGAGGGACTCAGTCATAGTCCTGTGGTTCCGGTGCTCAGAGAGCCCAATACCCCTTAATTAGGGAATATAGCCTAAATCATAAGAATACGGCCCGTATAATTTCGGGTATATTCCTTATTTAAGGGGTATTGGGCTCTCTGGGTTCGGGCGGTTCGGGAATCCCAAGAGGGAACTTCGCTGATGGCATGCCTCAGAGGCCAAGAATATCCTGTCCATGAAGCGGACGCTGGGGTGCAGACCTCAGAATCCATAGGGCGACCCCTTGTGTGTTGTGAAGCGCACAGGTTCGCGGCTTAGGGCTGGTCCTGTCCCTATGTTTGACATCCCCAGCACCCTCCAAGCCCAGGACCATCGCGGCGCAGGTATCCAATTGGGAGATGAATATTAAGATGCTCGAGTGGGGCTACAAGGCCTGGGACTGGAAGAGAAAGTGCCCACGATTTCTCTTGCAGAATTTTACATCACAAATACATACTTCCTCTCAATCACTGCCACGCCCACTTCTGTGCTTGATGCTACTGCCTGATGCTACGGGGAGGGCGCAGAAGCACACATGGCCAACCGCCGCCTTGTGTTGGTTCTGTTACTTCCAAACTCAGGCTCCATCGTGAAGCCTTCATCCGGAGGGCTTCGAAAAGAACTTATAGTATCTTCTGGTATTATAGTGATGTTTGGGTTAATGTTATAGTATCAGGAAGCTGAAGCTGGTTCTTTCCGCAGGAGGACGACGATGTAGTGCTGAGTCGTCTGCATGACCGACGATTGCGGCACGAGGGCTTCTGGAGCCACCGGCCTAAAACATCGCGTTCCGTCTTGAGTGCTCTGGTGCGCCGCTTTCATTGCTGGCCAAGGCTTGTATCATGACCGAGCACGCAACGACAGGCCTGCAACAGATTTCTCGGACCCGGAGCGCGAGGAGTCGCAGCCGGTAGATGAACCTAGCTGCCGCCTCATTTGCTTGCGGTGCTTGCAGGGGTCTTCGTCGTTTTGTCGGGGGCTGTCTGGGTTGCTCCGTTGGACCACCGAGGTGGTCAAGGTGCCAAATCGGACACTTTTCAGATTCGCGGCTGCAGCGTAGGCTCGCATGTCGAAGTGTGTCGCGCAAATGAAACAAGTTTTTTTCTTAGAGACGCCGTGCTCTTCCTTGAAGCATGATTCGGTCTGCAGCATGAGCACGCGGGGAGCCCGTGACACATCGAAAGCCTCCGAGCTCCCAGGAAGTTCCGAGAAGCTGTTGAACAGTCGCAGTGGGCTTCTGCGCACGGCTGCCCTGGGGCTCTCTCCAAAGCCAGGATCCACCGCGTCTCAGGGTCTTAGGGTGTTCGAGTCGACCGTCTCACAGACAAGCAGGCGTCGTGCAAAAATCGATTTCACCCTTGGTCTCGACTGCTGCAGGAAGGCGGTCAGCAAGCTTCCCACAAGCATTTCAAAGCACCTTGGAGATTATGGAGGCCATCTGTCTTTGAATTGTTCTTTCGTGGTGAAGCGCTGCCGGGCCAGAAGTCTAGACATAGGCCATGCAGACATGACTCCCCTGCAGAATGCAAGGTGACCTCAAGGCGGGGGTGTCGGATATACCCGAATATAAATACACTCATGGAAGTCTTCCTTAGCAGACTCTATTGACGCCGAGGAACCTGATGAACGTTGTGAGCCAGCCTTCAAGCATCGGGCGTTGGGCCCCTCCTCGCCCCCAGAGCGACTTGGATGCTGCAACTCGTTAGACGAGCAGTGTTTGAGAAGGAATGTGATCAGAGTCGCAGTCGCAGGGTTATCGAGGGCCGGGGGAGGGGATGCACGTACAGGAAAGCATCTACTCGAACGGGGCAGGTTTCCATGGCGCTAAGGCGCTCAGCACCGCCAGCTCCCGGGTGCGATGCTGAGGCGTGGACCGCCTACCGAAAGTCTATGAGGGAGAATAAAGTCTTGTGCATTGTGACGTCACTGAGCTACCATGGTACTTTCTTTGCAGGGACATGGCTTCGCGGCCTGCCAGCGCTGGTGGTGTCAGACGGAGAGAACACCACGTTTCCACAAGTGCGGACGTCTACAGACACCTTCTACAGTATAGGGGCTTCAAGGGCTGGACTAAGCTAATTAGTAATTCTAGCTCTGAGGGTTCCTTGTTATAGATATACCTGTTGGGGCCGGCAGGATGCTCCCTACTGCAGCGCCAGCCACCACAAAGAACCAATAATTAACTTGTACTGTCCCTCCTACTCCTACTTCTACGGCAACGACGACGACGACGGCGACTACGACAACTACTACCTTGTACTGCTCTCCTGCTGCTGCGGCCGCTGCTGCTATGGCTAGCTGGAGCTTGAGGAGTCCTTTGGATCCGTCCATCGCACGCTCTCTGCCGTGCCTGGAAACACCGAAGCCGGTCCTTTGTGCCACCCGGCCGGACTAAACCCTAAACCTCTAAGGCGTTTACCGTAGGATCGCCAGTCAGATGACAACCGAACGCTTGCGACTTGCCAATTGTGTACCATAATGCAGTTTGAAATGCTAGAGTCAGACATTTCAATGTACCATAATATCCTATAGAACTTACTGAGATATTCTATGATGTACAATAATATGCGACGATGTACGAATCATGTTGTACCGCGGTCCTCTTGTTGAGCTGTGTGCTGTGATTGCCAGCCGTCTTGGTCCGTCAGTCCAGTTTCTCCTGAGCGGGCAAACTGAGGAGCGGAAGGATATTCTCCAGGTATCAATGAGCAGCAGGCTTCGGCCTAAAGAACTTTGTCGTAGGCCTCAGGAGTTCACACTATAAGGCCGATGTTCTTGCTATGTCAGTATGTCTATGTTTAGTATTCCTCTTGCTCCTGGTGATGTCGAGTGCTCTGCGAAATGATGATGCCATCTGTTCGTCTAATTTTCAGGCGACATGACTGTAGTCGAGCTTGCAGTTTTCTTCGGTATCACCCTGCTATGCAAGCCTCGTCCTGGCCATGTGCGAGGCAACAGCAACCCCTAGTTACCCTAGTTCGTACCTCCTTTTTTAATAACTGATCTCCCACGTCTGACATGCTATCCTCACGCCAACGATATTGCTAGTTGGACCTTTCTGATGAACGCAGTATAAGGATTCAGGACCGGTCAGCTGAACTCATCCCGGGCCGCCCCGCCTTTCCATATTCCTTATTTAGTGGGTTTGGTTTGAGAGTGTGTCTTTCCTTCATTTTCCTTCCCCACATTTGCTGACTAATTAATAACTAGGACTTCCGACGCGTGACACTAGTATGCTTGGCCAATCAAGAAGTTCCCCAAGACTCGCACGGGTCACTTAAAGCGTTGTCAAGTGTGCGGCGTTCTAAACCCCTCCTGTGGTAGTTTATATAAACGTTAAGATTGGTTGGTCCGCGTCAGCTGGGGTTCGGTGCGCGGCAGTCGCGCGTCAGTGAACGCATCAGCGAATGATGCTCCACAGCACGCGTCAGCAATGCGATAGCTTCGGCCCTAGTACCAGCACCAGTACAGCATGAAACAAGGATTTTGAACATCGCATAAGCGGGTAGTCCAGTGTTTCACTCAGAAGAACGTGTATGCGCAATGCTCGCTGGGCGGTCCCAGTGTGAATGCTGAAACCCTTTTCTGGGTTTTGATAGTTTTGTGTATGTTGTTAGTGTTGTTGTTATTTTTTATGGACGCTAGTATTGTTGTTGTTATTGCTATTATCGTTATTGTCATTGTTATTATCATGTTACTATTAATACTGCCATCCCTTTCATTGTTTTTAGTATTGAATGTCATTATTGCCATACATTACTATTCTGTATATTCCTATTCTTGTCATATTACTGTGTCTCACGATCTATTACCGCATGTTACTATAATACGTTGCCGTGATTGTTGTTGTCGCTTGGTGGGCCCTAAACCCTAAACCCCAAACCCTAAGCCCTAAACCCGATTGTCGTTGTTGCTTGGTGGGGTCCAGGCCGACGAGTGCCGGCTCGTCCCGGCCTCGATCTGCGAACCGCTCTGCCGGAAGGCCGGAGAAGGAGGTTAATCTAGGGTTTAGGGTTTAGGGACCCTAAACCCTAAACCCTTAATCTAGTTGTGAGAGTGTAAACCCTTAATCTATTTCTCTTGCTAGTTTATCTAAATTTATGTTAGTTGGTCAAAAATGTTTAAAAAGTGGCTTTAGTTTTATCATAGCAGTGTTTATAATTATCTGTTTTAGGGCTTAGTAACTTAGGGCTGAGGGCTTAGAGTACTATGTTATAATAAGGATTTAGGGTTAAAGGGTTCAGGGTTTGGAGCATGATTTTATAGTGTGTGTGTTTAGGGTTTATCAGCCAAGCTTCTTTCAACCGCGCCGGGTCGTGCCGGTCCCAGACCGCGACTCAAAAAGCAAGGCCGCGATGAAACGTCGCCATGGGTGGGCATACGAAGGTGACGCTCAGTCGATGCGAGGCGTTGACAATGAGATGCCGTTGCCTCGGGAGGGGTCCGGCAAATCCCGGTCGAACTCTAGCCCTGGTGAATGCTGGAGTATAACCTGTTTCTACTAGAGCATAATGCAGTCTATTCACAAGTTGGAGTGATATGAAATAATGTAACAGAGGGTTGAAGGAACGCTCCTCCATGAGGAAAGCGTCTGAGATCCGGGACACGAGCTCTGGGTTCGACCTGTCTGGAAACACGTGCGATGAGAAATCGCAGTATCGGTGCCAAGGCAAGAGCAACACGTCGAGATGTGTCGCTAGTCACTCCTTGGTAGAGCTTGACTTCTATCGCCCGAGGTGCAACCCAAGAATAGCGCAAAGGCAGCTCAAACAAGGTACGCTGGCACGACAAGAAGGCCGCCGGCAAAGCCCACTGCTGCTCTTCAGCTGGGCGGACGGGCGGAGAGCAATGCAGAAGATTGAACGCATATTGTGGGATGAGACCTTCTGCAGCTCAGCGAAGACACTCCAAGCACGTGCCAAAGACGGCACGCTGTCGGCAATACCTTCTTCCACCCGCCCACACTGGGGGCCAGCAACCTGCTGGCCACAAGCTGGATTTCCTTGGATTCGCCGTCCTCGTCCTCGTCCTCGTCCTCGTCCTCGTCCTCCTCCTCCTCCTCCTCCTCCCCCTCCCCCTCCTGACCTCATCATCACCACGGCAGCAGCAGCACCAGCATCATCATGGGGGCGAGTGTTTGATGCTGCGTGTAGATCACACTGACAATCTTTGCGATTATTCTTGGATCACTCTTTGTTTTTTTTGGGCTTTAGGGGCTTGTGCACCTATCTTCAGAGAGGTTGAAAGACCAGAAACCAGGACTGAACTCAGCAACTGTCCTTTGCTGTATGTACGGTGTTGATAATATGTCTTGTTTCCTGGCATAGCGCACTCTGCTGCTTTCTTTGTGGTCTGCTGGGCCACGGTTGCCTTGTTACTGATTGCAAGCCCAGCGTAGCCGCCTATTCCTGAGAACCGTCTCCTTGCCCCCTCAGTATCTCACGTGTTGCAAAGAACTGGCAGTCTTACATTGATTGCTGATTGGCTGCTTTTGGGAGTGGGAGACACATTTGTCATCTGTGAGGCCTGGAAGTGCGGGATCTTTTGCATCACGGCCTTCGCGGCCACAAAGTGCCACCGTCTCACGATCCTGGCGAAGGTGACGCCGCCTCCAGCAGGTTGTGTGCGTTTGAACTGATATAGGGATTGGATCCGCCATGATGAGATTGCGTTTGAGCACTCCGGGAGCTGTTTGGCGAGACTTCTGCAAGCCAACCTTCTCTTTGACTGTTGTTTTGGGGTCTTGCAATTTCTGGCTCCATGGTTGTTCACCAGTACTATTACCTTAGAATACCACAGCCTACAGTCTTGTAGGTTCCTACTATGAACCCTAAAATGGGGTTTAAAGGGGCCCGACCAAACAGGCAGGTCCCGCTAGGTTAAGCCAGCCGACATCAAGCTGCTTTGGCCCTTGGAGCTCCAAGCGATCCTCTTCCGAAGGAGCCCTAAACCCTAAACCCTAAACCCTAAAACCTAAACCGAAGTGCGGGGGATCCTCTTCCGAAGGACAGAGAGTGGCTTCTTGCAGCCGGGCGGCCCTCCTGACGGCAAGCCCAGGATGCCGAGCGGGGCTTTAGAGAGACAGAGATAGACAGACACGCACCTTCATGCTCATACATCATATGTTGAAGGCTTGTGGCATGAAGAGTCTGAGGGTCCTGGGTTTTACGCTTACTGGGTTTCAGACTTCGGGCTACGAGTCGATGTCCTTGTGATCGCGTCTCTGCTTGCGCAACTGAGAGCCTCGTCGGTCCTGGGAAATAGTCCCAGGCTGCATTGCATCAGCGCATGTTTCGGGGTCTGCAAAAATCTCTCGCCATTTTAGGTATATGCCTACGAGAGAAGTGTAGCAATTATAGCGAGGGGGAGCCGTGCTGGACGCAGAACAGTGACAAATGAGAACATCCACAAAGACCCGGCACCAGCCCTCAAACTGCAGACCATTTCAGCCAGACTCCTCGTGTTGAAGGCTTGACAATGCTGACCTGGCGCAGTGGCTTGCCACCCCGCAGCTTTGTGCCTCCCTCACATCCGTCAGAGGGTTGTTCGACAACCTCGTTCGTGTCTGGGATACCGGCCTCCTGCTGGAGTTAGCATCGAGGCATTAGTAGACTCCATGTTCGTGGGGCACTGTCACGTTCAGGTTTAACTCCGCAGGCCTGCGAATCTTGAAGATAGTTTGCAGTTGCTCCGAATCATCGCGGACCTGTACTGTAATGACTCACGCGACCTGCCTCCTGAGGTGTCGCGCCGAAAAAGCCAGCGGCTTCTTCGCGGAAGTACTTGCAGGAACAAGACCTCCAGAGCTTTAGATCTTCATGTAGCAAGACTACATGCTACACATCTGTATATACATGTTACATACACACACACGCACACACGCGCACTATATGTATATGTGTGTATATATATATATACGTAGTATAACGTGTAAGAAATCTGTGTTCTTAAAGCCTGTATCTTGCGAGCACGAGGAGTGCGACCTTCGAGCCACAGTTCCAGACACTCTGGATTTCAACACCGGCTGCTTGGTGGCCTCAACTGGCGCTGCAGCAAGATGCGGCCAGTCGTTTCATTTCCGATCGGGGAGTCTCCGAACTGCCCCTAAACTCTAAACAATAACGAACCATAATATGCCTCGCCTGGATTGTCCGAGTGTGAGCGCCGAAACCCTGACATCAGCGTCTTGCAGTGCAGGCTTTTCCTCGAAGCTATCCGCTCCGCATCGTGGCCTGACGGATCATGACCTTCTTTCCGTGACAGGCAGGACTTGCATCATGGCAGGGCATGAAAGGACGGAGGAAATCTTACTTGCAAGATGTGAATGCTTGATATATGGTGTTGCTGACGTCTTTCCTTTCGCTCGGGATCGAGAGAGAACTTGGAGTGTATTGTTGGGGCTTGCAGATGGCGGCAGGCGGATTGCAGGGGTGTGCTTTGCAGTGGCTAGATTCGGCTAGATTCAGAACATGTGCCCCAACCTCCCTTACGCACAGTCTGGACAGTTTCCCTTCGATACAGCTCCCGCTGCGGAGTCACCTTTGCTCCTAAACCCTAAACCCAAGTGGGCAATCGGCCAGCTGAGTACACCTCAAGCGGGAAAACGGGAGCACTCACTTCGTTCTTCAGGCATGCTCCCGGAGAGGCAGAAGGTCGATGAAGTGTGCCTCAAGCAGCTCCTCGACACGACAAAGCAATGTAGGGGCCTGTTTTAATAGTTACCTATATTTTGGGGGGGGTCCTTTATTGTCATAGCTTTACACCTACTATTTTGGGGGGTTCCTTTGTATTATAACTATAGTATAATGGGCCCCAAAGCCCTATTCTTATTATTAAGGCCCCTCCTCTATTATCCTCAGATGGCAGTAAGTACGGTGACCTTGGGGTGACGACGCCGATGTCATTGCCGATGCCGGGTATCTCTCAGTTTTTCGCTTGAATCCTTGTTCTGAGATGCCTACGAGTCGCTGCTGCTTTCTGTGGCCACGACTGTGACCATTGCTACCCCGTACCTCGCTGCTACTGACAGACTACCACTAGCAGACGGACTACCACTGCTACTAGCTAGACGACGACGGCAGTGGCATCGACCACTGCTGTTCATAACTCGTGATAGTAGTAATGCTAGCGTTAATAGTCATACGAAGAAACGAAATGACTAATGCGACTACTTAGTCGAAGGATGTTGATCTGTGCGATTGCGTAGCAAAATCACCAGGAATTCCGGCCTCACCGATGCGAGCCTCGTGCCGACGACTTGGACAAGACATGTTTCGCACGATGCTGACATGTCGCGACATACAGTCCATTCAAGACACATGATGCGTGACAGTACTGTTGAGCAGTTGAGCATAATGAACTTCGCACTAATCCAGTCCGAGACTCAGAGATCTGTCGGAGATGGCAAGGCCTTTCCTGCGCCAATTCTTGAAGGCTGCCGGGCATGGAGGATCTTTGAGGGATTGTCCTGCAGCTTTTGACATGGCGGCTAAGCCTTATCTTCAGTCGCCTGTATTGCATGTTCGCGGCCGCTTGGCACAGTTCTATAAGATATTACAATATAGTTTACTACACCATGATCGATATACTACAATATACTATAAGATTCTGTTGCTTGCTGCCAGGTCCCGCGCTTAGCTGAGGGCTTGCGCTCGCTCAACCTCAAGCAATGCAAGGCAGAGGAATGCATTGCACTACCTAACTACGTAACTCATGTCACAGCCGTGATGCGATTTCCCGGCTTCCGAGCGGAGAGCTTCCAGTGCAGCCCTCTAAAACCCCTATTATAGTATATTTCAGTATATCATACGAGTTGTATTTCTTAAAGCATATTATGGTATGTGGTCGTATAATCATAGCATATCATAGAACGACGACAACGGACTGAAGATCCCAGTTTGCAGTGCAGGGCGCCGGATGGCAGAGCTTGGAGGTTCTTCGGCAGCTGACCTTTGCCGCACGCAACCTGAGGCACGGTTCGCGTTCTCTTTGCAACAAGCTGGAATACATGACGGGAATGCAGTTTCCCAGAGAGCCCAATACCCCTTAAATCAGGAATATGCCTTAAATTATACGGGCCCTAATATTCTGATTTAAGGTATACTCCTGAATTAAGGGGTATTGGGCTCTCTGGGTTCATCATCTTGAGAATCATCTTCACCCTGCTTCAGGGAGCTGAACCTCAGCGGTGTACAGGTCGGAACGTGGCTGCCTCAGTCGACGCCGTGCCGTCGGAGAGTCGAAGATGCGCACGAACAGCACAGGAGGTTCAACGTGTGGGCATCGGGCAGCCTGCTATGGTATATGATTGCGCATATTACAGTGTACCGTAGTACATTATAGCTTGTACATGTGCTACTTTGTTCGGCGTGCTGCTGCGAAACTGCTGTACAGCGTCATCCAAGATTCCTGCTTCACTTTTGCGAAACTGCGCTGTGCAAGCACTGATCACACATCGGGACATGCTCGTGGTTGCTGTGATGTTACTCGCCGAGGCATCTTCAACTCAAACTCTGCGAATCCCTCGGGGTACACCGGAATTTGCAGCGGGATCCTTAGATCTCAACAGTTTTTGCCCACTCGTTTGGTTCAGATTCAGTCTGTGCACATGTGCAGGCCGCAGTGAGTCAGGGAAAGTGTGCTTTGTGTCTTCATTTCAAAATCGTCAGTGCTGTCCTAAACGCTAGGCGCTAAACGCTAATGCGAGCGCCCAAAACCTAATGTGAGATACCCTAAATCCGCAACCCTAAACCGCTGAGGTTTATTGGTTTATCTCGCTCTGGACTGGGCGGCACATGCCTGACAGAAGACTGCCTAAGGCATCTTCTGAGCTGCGGCCTGAGGGAGCACATCCTGTGAGCCGGTGTATTAGGTAGGGGTTACTTGGAGGATCATGGGACTAAGTAACTAGGGTTATAAATAAGGTAGTTATAATTATAACCCCAATTAGGGTACTTATAACCTTACTTGCTAAGTCCCATGATCCTCCAAGTAGGGTTTCGGGTTCAGAGGTGCTTCACACCACTTGAAAATTTAATCATTTGCCGCACGAGACCGCAAGGCTATTCTCGAGATGTAACAAAGGTTCGAGCTCTGCATTCGGTTTTCAAAACACCAGACAGTTTTACGGCTTCCGAGGACACCCCAGTCGCTTTAGGAGCTTCCCCGGAAAAGTTTGCTGACGAAAGGGCAGCTTTCAGAAGTTACTTCTTCTTGTCGAAGAGGCACTACAGTAGCAGACGCAGCACGCAGGACTGCTGCGCATGGCACACGGAATGAACCAAAGAAGCACTGACAATACTTGATGCAGGGTGAAGTCTAGTATCTGTGGAAGTTCGGTTTGGCATCGTGGTCGACAACATGCGATTAAAGTATTTGGCTTTTCTCAGTTGAACTGCGTGATGTCCTGGGCGTCTCAGGCAGCAGAAGTAACAGAAAGCTGGACCTCAGCTGGAATGTCTTCAGCAAGAAGGACCCGCAGTTTTTTCATTGCGTCGAGCACCCTATGCTTCAAAGCATGGAGGACTTTCAAGTCATCGGCGATTACATTGCCGAGAACACCTGCCTGATGCACCTGCTTTTAGACAATACTGCGGCCTACATCGTCCAGCGCTGAGCAGATCTAGTGCCAGCTTTTCTTCTTGAAGAGCAGGTCATAGGTCTCGATTGAAGCATGAGATTTTGAGCTAGGTTGGTGAAGACACACCAATCTCAGAGCTGATCGAGAAGCTGGCCTTCAACTCTGCTTTGAGGCTTGGCCTGGCTTCCGTGCAGACTTTGGGCTTACAGCCCTAACAGCACCCCGGACCCCAGTTTCAGGTGATGCTGTCAGCATCATGAGTTGCTTACGCAGTCCTCCCAGAAAATGAGGACCCACATGGACCCACTCACTATTGGCTGGCATGTCCGAGACGGAGCGCCGAAACCCGAATCCCGAACCCAAATCCTAGACTCCTAAACTCCTAAACCCAAAACCCTACACCCTACTTGGAGGATCGTGGGACTTAGTAAGTAAGGTTATAAGCACCCTAATTGGGGTTATAATTATAGTTACCTTATCTATAACCCTATAGTTGCTAAGTCCCACGATCCTCCAAGTACCCCTTAAAGGGGACCATTATTATAGAACCCTACAGTACCCCTTAAAGGGGACCATTATTATGGAACCCTATGGTAGTCCCGTCCAGGAGCCTGAGCATCTGTACAAATCGCATCGACTCCCGTGCCGCACTGGTCATCGAGGCAGATGCAGAGTCTGCTTTTTTAGGTTTTAGGGTTTAGGGTTTAGGGCTTAGGGCTTAGGGTTTAGGGTTTAGGGTTTAGGGTCAAGGCTTGAGGTGGTGTCATCCTATCGTATATTATCGTATACGACAGTTTACTGAAGTCTTTACAACAGCAAATGTGATCGTATATGGCAGTATATCATATTGTAGAATACTATAGTATCCTTCAGTCTATGACAGTCTACTACAGTATGATACTGATATGATGACATCAAGTAGGTTTCTTTGCCCCTTCTAACGCATGAACATTGCCTTCGTGCTTTGGCCGTGGGAGATTCGAAGTCGCTAGTAGCCGCCCATTTTTTGGTACACTGTAACATGCTGGAATATGTTATACTTTGATATGCTAGAACATGCTCCAATGTACGACAATATCACACATTGTTTTGCACGTGCCCATACATGTCAGAAAGCCGCTGAAATTCTTCCGCCGTTGCATTTCCACCTGCCTCGTTCTTAGCACAATGGGCTCCAGACTAAATTGATTTGAAGAAGCTACCCTAAGGCAAAAAAACCTCTAGAAGCCTCTGGGTTTCATGTTAGTGGGCCTAGCTGCAGGGATCCTGATCCTACCTGCCTTCTGTACGCCTGGACCTTTCCTTGGGTCTGGGAAGGACTCGCTGGAGGGTCACCCGATGCTGTCGCGGCTGTATCTGCGAAACAATCCACTGGGCATCCACGGGCTGACGCTCGAAAGCTTTCATTCCGGAACCGGCTCAGCATGTCGGGTTATCGGGCTTCATGTGCCAGAGGCCGTGCTTGCAACCGTTTTGAACTAGTCTTTCTGTCGGGCTTGGGCGGAATCTGGTGCTACTGTATCTGAAAAAGTGCACAGATATCTACAGATCTAATGAACCGATGAGGCATGATGTCAGCTCCTTCTGCTGAAGTCGATGAGGATGAGAGGTGGCAATGACGGTGTTGATGCTGCTGCTGACGCCCCTACTGCCTTGTTTGGGCTCCAGGCCCTTCACAGGCTTAGCTCGATAGGTTTCATGTGGGTGGTTGTGAAAATTAGGGTCCCTTTTTGGGTCGTTATGATAATACGGCACCTAATATTTAGGGTACCCCAAAAAGGGACCATAATTTTGGCAGCTACCCATGTATACGCGTTGAATGGCTCACTGCTTCAACGGCTTGTATGGCTTGAGGTTGCCTCGCCACACCTTGCATGCACAACGATTTGTTCAATGGCTTGCCGTATTAACATTGAAGTGGCCATAAACTTACCGGTGAGCTTTGTGATTTGTAAGGTGGGTTGTGGTTGTTGTGGTGCATAAAGTTTGCAGGGTTTTGATTCATTGTCTCCCAGCACAGACAACCTAACAGCAGCGCTCCCTGTTAGATCAACATGTCCTCAACACCCAGCCGATTTTTCTCAGCAAGAAGGAACGGACTGCAATGAACCACGGGCTGCAATGGAGCTTAAAGAAAGCGTTGGGAGGTATATCTTCTGACTTCTGTGTGATCAGATTGCAGAAATCTGTGGGCCCACGATCTGGTTCTGCAGGAGGCAGAAAGATGCCATATAGCAACCATCCTAGTACCATTTTAGCATCCCTCATAGTAGCCGTTCCTTGTAACCAGAACAAAAACAATAAGAATTAAACACATATATATATATATAATAATAATTCTAATACAGTACGAATAATAATACTAATACTAGTAATCCCAACTCCTCAACCTTTGAAGCCCAGGCGAAGCATCCTTCGACTGCTCTGCCGGAAAGAGTCCAGCATGTCCCGCCTTGACATCGAAGGACCTCGTGTTTTTAAGTCGGAATTCCTTTTTGAGACCACCCTGCAAGTATAGAGAGCGATTTGTTCCTTTAAACTCCTAAACCTGCATAAAAGGAGTCTGGGCTTGAGGGTTCGGTCCTGAGGGCACTTATTCGGTACGAGATCCTGCTCTTAGGCAGCGGGTGCAAGTGAACAGTGCAGTTGCGATGACGATGGGATTCCACGCAGTCTTCCTGCCCAGGCGTCACGGTGTCATGGCCATGGGGCAGTAGGGGAAAGCATGATCCCTTGTGCAGGATGCAAGTCAGGGGACGAGAAGACGAAGAGTACGGAAACGCACACGAAGGTCACAGGGGTCAGCCGGCACAGTGCCCTTCGAATTGTAAAGTCCTTTCAGGCCCGTCAGGCTACCCTGAGCAGGAATTGGAAATTTGGAAAATCTGAGGCGACATGAATGATGGCAACGCCCAGGGCAGAGAAGCTCGAAAGGAAGTCTAACCCTAAACCCCTGATGTACGATCCCAGGGTGCGAGACCCCTGAGAGAATCAACGACGTTCCTTGCTGTAATTCCGGAAGCCGACATTCGTTCCAAACCCCTAGAGTGTTGTAAACCTTAAACCCTAGACCCCCAGTATTCTTGCAAGTCTCCATTGTGTAGGTTCTTTCGGTCAGAGACGGAAATGCCTTGTGCCTTGCCAGCCTTGTGCGAGTGCTCCCTGACTGCTCAGGGAGTCCCAATCATGACTACTTGGAGGATCATGGGACTTAGTAACTAGGGTTATAAATAAGGCAACTATACTATAATTAAAACCCCAATTAGGGTACTTATAACCTGACTCACTAAGTCCCATGATCCTCCAAGTACACCCCGCAAAACTGTTGCCACGTCATCAGCTGTTGCACCGATCCGGGTGCGCTGCTGGGCACAGCAATCGGCGTCAGAACCAAGCGAAGGCTACAGAGAACATGTCAAGCTCCTCATGATCCATGTGCTTCGCAGTTGGCGAAGCTGAGCCCCATATCCCGAGAAGCATGATTCTCCCTGTCTGCCGGTGCAGGTTTTCTCCTTCACCAACCCAGGGGGCAAATACATCCTTGACCTCGGAATTCCTTACGACCGAAGCTTATGCAGGTGGGATGTTTGAGAGTTATGCAAGGCGTCGTCACTGATTTGAGAGGTGTGCGCTCCTTTCGCTTCCCGGTGCACCCAGGATGCTTTACGAGACTGCCGAGCGCTTCAACTTGGAGCACAACAAGGCGTTCGTCAACATCAATCACTCCCACCCACCCTATCACCACCCTGTCCGCTTCTCGGCTATAAGGCAGTCACCCTCCTACTTGGGACAAACACCTGCGACTTTTGCTAGCCGCTGCCAGCCGCTTTGTTCTTTGCCTGTTATTGCCCCTGTGACTTTACGACGAAGCTGCAACTGATGATTGCGCTGGGTGCTGAATCTCCCCCGAATCTCTTGCACATATCGAGTTTATAAGGAGACAGCATCGGGCAGTACAAGGTGCGGCGCAGCTCCTGCCAGTCTGCCAGTGTTCCTGTGTCAGTGCAATTCTGCTTGGATGCCCACGGCCCCTTGTAGCTGCTGTGTGGTGCTTTGTTATCTGCAACATGGACTTAATCGAAGCAATCAAGTCGACATGAAGGTGTGTCTCCTACATCGAGTATCCAAAGCGCAGGTGCGGCGTGAAGGCATCCTCACCTTCACTTTCAACGTGGAGTCTGCTATTGCCGCGGCCTGGTCGAGCGTCGCGGATGATGATTTCATCGGCTTTCTGAACAGTTCCTCGGAGCTTTACGGCTTTACTCGGGCAGTACATGTGGTGCTTGATGCGGCAGTACTTTTCGATGCAGTTGTCACGGCTTGGAGGTACAAGATGTACTTTACTAGACTAGACTACCGTATACTATAACATAGCATAAGGGGCTATATAGAAAAGACTATAACCGACTATCTTGTAGCATAATGTGCTATGCTAGCATGCTACAAGCATTTTCTGCACCCAGGCCACTTGGCCATGATGCGCTTCGAGCCGCACAAGCGAAAGCTGCGACCGTTGCTTGCCAACTGGATGCTCAGAGGCATGCTTATAGTCTAGGTTTAGGGTTCAGGGTTTAGGGCTTAGTACTTTTTAAGTATTGTGGATTAGTTTAAAGTAGGTTTTCGTATAGGTAGTTCGAGTGTATTGCAGTATCTCACAGTACATTGTAGTAAATCACAGTACATTATTGTTACATTCTGTATAGTACATCGAGGATTGCACGGCAGAGGGAGACGGTAAGCATGTGATAGAACAGGGCCCCTACATGCAAGAGACGACAAGGGAATGCGAAGATTTTCAAGTAAGGCAGACAGATAGATGCTCATCTTGCATCTCGTTTGGAGGTCTTCGTCTCAGTCCCCCAATAAGCTGAGAAGATGTGATGCCTCCGCCGTTAAATGCTTGACATTCGAATCACGCTAGTTCGGTCCGCCCTGAAGTGTGTTAGCGAGCACTGGGATGTAGTGGCATCAGAACTAGCAAACAGATGTGGAGAAACGAGGGGATGTGATAGATCGACTCAAGAGAAAACGACTTCTCACGCTTGTGACAGAAGAAACCGCGGGTGCAATGTGCATCTTGCATGCTCGATGCAACAGTGAATGGGATGCTATACTCTAATGTATTATCACTACAGTACTCTAATGTGCTACCATATGCTAGAAGACACTATAAATATCCTGCAGTAGTTTTGAGGAAAGCGATCTCCGGAATGCATGCGGAGCAAGAGACCTTCTTGACGGCTTTAGCATCCGATTTCAACATGGAGGTCCCGTATTTGGAGTACATGGTCCAGGCCCCGCGAGGGATTTGGGGCCTAGAGCCTAGGGTTAAGGGCAAACAAGCCGTAAATGAATTAACAAAAAGAGCCATGAATCGATGATCCTCTACCTGTTGGTCCAGGCCTGCCCAGAGGCCAGCAATGAAATACTCTTCCGGCTGATCCCGAGCCTCAAGCGCGACGGCTGCTCCACATTCCTGGCGATGTCGCTCTTCCCGCGGGTCGAAGATCTATTGGAGACCCAGTGGAGGATGGAGAGCTTCCTACTCTTCAACCCGCAGAATCCTACGGGTCGATACAAGCTCAAGCTGGAAAACAGCACCTGTGAAGCACTTTTGGTTTTCAGCTGAGAGCTGCTTTGAAACAGTCTGCCTACCTCTTGAATACTATAACTGTTTAGCATACTATGATGTACTATAATTACTGCTTTAAGCTATATTACACAATAAGTTAAGCCACAAGATAAGATAATGTCCTATGACAAGCATCGGTATACTGTAAGAGAACACAGCAGAATGGACCATACTAGTTTAATCTCCCAGTAGAGAAGATAACCTACTATAAAATACATTATAATATGCCCTACGAGAACGTAATGTACTTTGCCCTAAACCCTACACCCTAGGCACTGACTTCGCCGTAGCCCAGCAGCTGCTCTTGCTGGACCGATGGGAGTCGGCGCTTCGGCGCCGAATTCGCAGAGCTTTTTCCTTGACCCCAGCCCGAAACAGCGCCTTTAAAGGGTGATATCGGGCCTATAAGGTTCTAATGAGTTCTATAACAGTGTGCCTACGACGGTCGCTCTACGGATTCCTTTACGGGTTCCATTCAGGTTTAGGGTTTGGTCAAGGGCCCCGGAAGGGCCCCGGATTCTCTACTTGCCACTCAGCTGACTGGCTCGAGCTGATGCATAATGTACTTTAAACCATAATATTGAGCCCCCGATAATTTAAGGTATATTCCTTAATTCCCTTATATAATATTGCTGCTTATAGAGACCAAACTGTTTTCAACACCGATCGCGCCATGCATGGATAGTGGTTTCAACCGCTTGGACTGCATTAATGGATGCTGGAGTCCGAAAATTCATGAACAGCACCGCTACTTCTGAAGGACTGCTACTTCTGACGGTAGCATAGCTGAGCTGCATTGGGTCTCAATGTGGCAACATCTGTCTGACATACAGGCTCTGTTCGTAGCCAGCAACTAGTCATCTAAAACAAAAGACAGCTGGCCTTTGCTCTATCTACATATCCGGAATGTGTCGAAAGTTCTGCTTGTGCATTCACCTGATAAGAGCACGCATGCACACAAAGCGTCTCGTAAAGTCTTCCAAGGTGGTAAACCGACGACACAACCGTGGTGATGTCTCACAGCGTGGAAACCGCTCTCAGCTCCGAAACGATGCTTGGACTGGGCTGGGAGATGTACCCTGTTTCAGCTTGACAGGCTTCGAGTAGGTGAGCGGGTAAGTAGGCACTAAGTAGGCACTTGATTCAAGGAGCTCTACCAGGGCCGAGCTCTCCACCTTTCCGTGACTTGGACCCAGTACTGGTACGTTTCAGTTTGGCATGTGCAAGGGTACACCAATGCAGGTGAAACTCTTGACGGAGTGGGCCATGCCGGAGTTTGGCGAGTTCGAGTGCGACTATGCCACCAGCCACTCATCAAAATGGCTAGCCTGGAAGGTCCCGACGCGCGTAATCCTTTGCGTCCCTGCACTTTGGCCTGCATGTTCCGGCATGCACCCTTTGCGCTAACGCGGGGATAAAGGACATTTTCGCGTCCCAAGTTTGCTTGGTAGATGTCAACATGTTCACACGGCCCCCTGTGACACCAGCGACGAAGTTAGCAGACCCTGGCTGCTACAGGCACCTGATCTGCTTCCCCTTGCGCATCTGTGCGCCGATGCCGTCACATACTAGGTTACTTTACTAGCAGTTCAGGAAAAGCGGAATGAAGAGAACCCCATAGAAGACACTATGATATGGCAGACCACAGTGCACTATGATAGACTACTGACTATAATCATATAGAGTAATAATAGTAATATTAGGGTCCCAAAAAAGCACAGAAGCAAAAATTAGGATAGGGATATCCCATATAAACCCCCTTATAATGAAGCCCAATAAGGCAGGGAAACCCCTACAAAATGCTTATGCTTATGGCCTTTTTGGGTTCCTAAAATATAGCACTGTGAAGCTCTTCCCTTGTGCCGAAGCCCGCGCTGGACTTAGGCTACCATCCGAAGCAAGGTTCCAAGCCGCTGAGCGACACTCTCTGGGAGGCGAGGAGTATAGCCGCCGGAATTAGACCAGGGTTTCTGGGTATATTCTGATATTCATATTCTGTCCTTTGTTTAGTCGGAATGCTGAAAAGAGAGTATTCAATTGGTAGATTTTCAGGCTTCGCGCAGTTTTCGCTGCCAAGAGTTCAGAGACGGTTCTTGCAAGCTGTTAGCTGGAATCCTTCCGCGTGCAGTAGGCTTGAAAAGTGTACTGGCATTACAAGCCCTGTGCAGTCGGTCATGATGGCCATCTATGACTCGCCTTGCCGCCCGGAAGACCAGCTGAAGGTGTTGAAGATCATCTCGCATCAGATTTTCTTAAGTTCCTTGGATGTGGTTTGGCGAGGGGTAGCAAGGTCCCCGAAGCCGCTTTCTACGGCCGACCAATGACCAATGGAAAATGTTCAGTCAGTTCAGACTATCGGTGGATGACTGGGCCGATGGCAGTCTGCCCTGAAACGTCTCAGGAGGCTAGGCCCTTTTTTCGACTCGCCCCCTCTTTCGGTGTTGGCCTCTGCACCGTCTGTCCGCACTCTCGAAGCCTCGTAATGTCGAAGACTAAATAATTGCCCACATTATTCCTTAGGGCACCTTGTTGCAATTATGCTATCAAGGAGCCCGGAAACCCTATCTTAGTTATGAAGGCCCCGACAATATGCAGTCTTATGGGTCGCTCCCGAACTCCCGGAGCCAAAGGCTCTCTGCACATTCGGCAGATGGTCGGCTTCTTCCGTAAGGACGAGGATCGCGAGGAGGCCTTGGTGATGTTTTGGCCAAGGCGCTGGTGGGAGCGGGAAAACTCGATGATACCCCAGAGAGCCCAATACCCCTTAAATAAGGAACATGCCTTAAATCATAATATTAAGGTCCCTATAATTTAAGGTATATTCCTTATTTAAGAGCTATTGGGCTCTGTGGGACTGGCATTTGAGGTAAGGTAAGTCTTGCAGACACATTCTTACGAGAGCGCTGCGCGAGACAAGTTTGCTTGTTCTGTTGCTCCATCCCAAACCTACAGCTTTAGAGACTTTTCCATCAGCACTTCCCCCGACCTCGCGACCACCGGCACTCCGTGCTGCAACGAGTCTCTAGTAGACGAGGCAGCGATGTTGCAACCGAAGCTTCTTTGGTTCGCTTGACTATAATTGCTTGTAACATGCGAAAACATGGTATCGTACATTCTAATAATACTATAGTATATTACAGTACATACTAATCAGTGGCTGAACAAGCCGGACTTGGCAGGGTCATCGACAAGTACAACGCGAAAGTCTTCAGGGTCCGGTTCGAAAAGAAGGAAGATGTAGTGCGACTGCAGGACATCGGAATCGCGAAGTTGGGAGCATTGTGCAGCCGAGCGCTCCTGTGGGGTCCTGTTGCCAGACTGTTCGAGAGTCGTGATTGCCGGTGATTGCCATGCTCCAGTGACAAGCTCTATGTTTTTGAGGAGCGTTTGGGCTACATCACTTTCTTCCCATACTTTCAGCCCGAGCCACTCGGCGCCAAGAGCATCGCGGGCAGAAGCTTCAGGGCACTCGCCGGGCAGGGATACAGGATTGAATTTTGTTTTGGCTTGGAGTGCTAAAAACCAACATTACCAACCCGCAATCAAGAAAGATGTCTCGTTGCCAGAACAGCAGTGGCCAGAATCATTCAGCCACAGGAACGCCGTGTTCCGGTTCAACATGGCTGTGTACGAGCAGCGAGTTTCTGCTTGCCTCTTCGTGCCTGTGACAGCAGTCAGCTAGTTTTGGTCGTCCCGTTCCTCACAGCAAGCTCAACGATCCCATTGAGACCGTGCGATCAACAGGCGGGCTGTACTGCACATCGATTGAGTCCTTCACGCCGCATAGTCATAGTGTGACTATTGGTGCTACTTAACCAGCTCAGGCTTGCATCTTTGCAACCCTACATGGGAACCGCTCTGCTACTTCTGACTTCTGCAAGCAGCGCCTCCTGCACTAGGTCCAGCTAATGCTTCGTGAGATGCCGGGGAACATCAAGGAGAGCTGTGGTAATCTATCGTTCACTTAGTACTAGGATTTTGATTCAGTGGTGCGGACGACAGCAACGACATGGCTTTACGATGACGGCTTCAAAAGCCACGATGGCTAGAATTACTGCTGCTGTTTATAGTGCTGCTGCTGCTGCTCCTCCTCCTCCTCCTCGTCCGTCCTCCTCCTACTACTACCGCTGCTGCTACTGCTAGTGCTGCCGCTACGGCTCCTTCTGCTGCCTCCTACTGCTCCTGCTGCTGTTCTTACTACGACGACGACTACTACTACTGCTCCTGCTGCTGTTCTTACTACGACGACGACTACTATTGATTATTATTGCTGCTGCTGCTGCTACTGCTGCTATTCCTGCTACTGCTACTGCTGCTACTACTACTACTACTACTACTGCTACTGCTACTGCTACTGCTACTGCTACCACTACCGCTACTACTACGACTACTACCTACTGCTGTTGTTGCTGCTGCTGCTGCTGCTGCTGCTATTAAACAACTACTACCACTACTCCTACTACTACTACTACTACTCCTCCTCCTCCTACTACTACTACTACTACTACTACTACTACTGCTACGACCACTGCCACTTCCACTGCCCAACCACTACCACTACCACCACTACTACCACTACCACTACCGCTGCTACTGGTGCTACTGCTGCTCCTGCTCCTGCTCCTCCTGCTGCTGCTGCTGCTACTACTACTACTACTACTACTGCTACTGCTACTGCTACTGCTACTACTACTACTACTACTACTACTCCTACTACTACTACTACTACGACCAATACTATCACCGCTGCTGTGGCTAAACGGGGGTCTTGATGTCGTGTGGCAAAGGTGGGCCTAGCGACGAGCAAAGCTGTGCAGCGAAGCAAGCTTTTCGTCCTGGGAAGGATCCGACCTACGAGAAACCGGACGGCGCGGACGTGGTTGTGGGAAAGTTCGGGCTTGCATTCCATACATGCATAGGCATACGTGGGCCAACTTTTGAGGCTGAGGCTTTCAAGCACCTAATGATTCACGAGCCTTCATCCCAGATCCTTCAACCTTTGGGGATACATTTTCCCCTTGATTTCTCGCTGGCACGTACTCTTGCTACCCCACTGCTCCTCCTGCTACCCCACGTTGGCCTGCCACTGCTGCTGTTTTTTAGCCTTTTGATTTGAACGTTTCTCGTGTAAAGGTGTGGGGGTCTGATGGGTAGGCCGCACGGGGGATGTCCACATGCAGTGGCAGAGGCCTGTACTGTGGTATACTAACGGTGAACGCATGCGGGCTCGTGACTCCTATCAGGTACATTCTTGATGGCAATGATTGCTTCGACTGCTCTTGCTTCTGTCTTCTTTTAATGGTTCAGATGCAGGGCATGCAGGGTGTTCTTATCATTTGACGTCCCAGGTACTTTGGACCCCATGGCGATGGGAGTACCCAGATCCTGGGCCGAGCCTGGCACCCCAGACCTTAGCCTTGGCATGAGGGGATCGTGCACTTTGAAGGCTTGGGCTTGCCTACGGCTGTGTAAGGTGCAGTCCTTTCGGAGCGGGTAGGATTCTGCTGGTGTGGACAAATTCTTGGTTTAGAAGCTTGATTCTTCAAAAGCAGGTGGGATGCCTGACACACGCTGTTCAGCTGCTGCATGCTGTTACGCATGCTCATGAGATCAGGCTGTTGGAAGATATCAGCCACTGTCAGCTCCCGACAGACTTTAATTGACTGGAGGCAGAACCTCACCTTCCGATGAAATTTGCGTGCGGGCGGACACCACACGTACAGATTGAGAAGGTGTGTGGTGGACAAGAACGGTCTTCGTACCATGTTTCGTGTGCCAAAGCAATCATATACGGGAGTGGTTCTTCCTCTTCGTCCCCGGGGGTGCGCAGGCTTGGATGTGATTCAATTTTTGGTTTGACTTTGACTGAATCCCGTCGCGTTGGGCTCGAACAGATGAATCCGGCCTTGGGCAAGTGCGGCTGGCCGCTTGGGCCACTTGGCGTCCAGTCAACAGGCGGCGTATGCGTTTCCACACTACGTCGTGCCCCAGCACTCGCGTAGACCCTAACCAGAGTGAGAGACGATGTGGTATGTAGCAGTGGCACAGCCATGGTGGTCGAGTGTGGTGCTGTCTTGTTGATGATTAGTAACAGATAATGTAACACGTGCTACCCATTGTCATGTGCTTGCCAGGGAAACCCAAGGAACCCCCTTGCTGTGCTAGCTGTTGTTTGTTGCATGTACGTCCCCCCTCATCATGTTAAATGATTCGCTTCCTCCTACTCCCGTGCCCCGTTGAGACCTCCAACTGCAAATTGGCTCTTGTTGCCTGAGCCAAGGCTTTACGTCCGGCCATGTTCAACACGGATTGCTGCTGCCAAGCTGAGGGCAACGAAGTGGTAGAGGTTGTCTGGAGCGAGAACCCAAAGTTCTTTCGAGGGACAGACAGGAGCTCCTACACACCGCTCTTCGGCGCCGTTCTCGGCAGCAATTTGGACGAAAATCCTGTGCCACGGACTGCCCCGTCCGAGTCGACGGCGCCTGTGGCCCCTTTACATCGGATAGAGGCAAGAAGCGAGCCCTCGACGAAGCAGTGGGGCCCGCCTGTGCCCGTTTTTGATGAGGAGGCAGAGGCAGCGCTTCAACCTCCAGTGTTTTCACGGCCTGAAACCCCCGTTGCTGCGTGGTCATACCATGACAGTCCGAAAGAAGATGCTTGACTTTCAAGCATGCTTGTTAGCAGAACCACCGGTTAGTGTGACAGCGCCATCATACAGTATCCTTGGGCAAATCCTGGGGCTTGCAGACAAAGGCCACGCCAGAGTTGCCAGCGGACTTTAGCACGGCGTCGCGGGCTGATACAACGGAGCGGCATGCGATGCCGCAGGAGAATGAACATGCTTCAGGAGGATTCAGGGCTTGCTTCGTCGAGATGTCGCAACCAGCATGCCAGGCACCGACAGCCAGGCTGAAGGGGGTTCGAGGTCGCAGTCAACTTATGGAAGGGCTCGGAGGCATAATGTTGCATGGCGAGGTGTCGTCCCTTGTATCGTGAGTTTCGGCACATCGGCATTCAGACAAGGCAAAACGTGCTCCAAGCAGTAAGCTTGTGGAGCTCGCTTGTGGCCCGCTGGCGGCTAAGGTGTTTCAATAGGTGTAGTATACAGGGAGCCACAAGCCACAGCGCAGCGGCAGCCTAGCCCAGACTTGGGACAGGCCAGCGCAAAGTGCCGTCGAGTTGAGCAGTACGCATGTTAAATCGAAGCCGCAACGACCATGGAGATGTCTTGCGCAAGGAGGGGACTTTTCTCGTCAACCTTCAAAAGCTTGATGGTGACGACATCGGCTTAGAGTTCGACACTATGGACTCGAAGGTTTTGCTCGTCAGCAACTTGGTGGAGACAGATTTTATCAGATCCTAAGTGCTCAAACCCGGAAACTTCATGAAACCTGTCGATTCCCCAAGCCAGACGGCAAAGCCAATTCAGTCTCTGCTTCCATGCTCTGGGCAAAGGCCAAGTACGTAGAAGTGGCCTCGCCACCCGCTGGAATGCCACAGCTTCGGAGGAGTCGCAGATTCGGTATCTGGGCATACATCTACGAAAGGGTATCTCCTACAACCCCTAATCGTCCCTATATAATCATACAATCGCACTAAGGTAGTATACCTCAATTCTACTTGGTATTATCCCTACAGGGCTTTCTATCGCAAGTAGGACCAGATAGGCGTGTTGGATGCACTGGTGGTTGGCCAAACTCGCGGTCTCGCAAGAGGAAGAGAGGTGCCACCGAGCTCCTTTTGTCCTTCGCCGCATGCAAAGTTGGTTGCCTTTGGAGACTCGTTGACTCGTTGCTCACTTCTGCGTCGCTCTCAAGCCCGAGTAGGTGCACAGCGCTTTCCAGACTTGACAAGGAGTCGTAAGACCATTAGGGCCGTTTGCACTCTGGCAGCGCGCAGTCGGTTTCGGTAGTCTGCAAAGAAGCACACATGGTGTAAGGAGGCAGGACTGGAGCCGCAGTTTCTGAGAACTGACTTGATGGCTATCACCACACTGGTCCGTAGCTGAAGTCAGGCAGTTTGATCGGCTGCTGGAAGTCAATGGCTGCGGCCTCCTTCCGTCGGTGGACCTTGTGGACATGTTGCAGGCCATGCGGGTTTTTCCGCTGTACAGTAGACTACGGACAGCTTCTAAGTTCTTTTGACTGGCAGCGGTGATACTTCAAAGACCTTCAGTGCTAGTCTTCAGTGGTTTTTCGTGGTTCTGGATTTCGCTTTCGTGCGGAAGGTTTTGGGCGTCGTCCCTTCCGTCATCCCACTGACACCCGTCATCCCACTGACACTGCCAGGGTGGTGGGCTATCGCCCCCTGAAATTATGCTGGATAGCCTCGTGCATGTAAGCCTTGTAGTAGCAGCGGCACTTGTTGTAACCCTTACAGTGGCTCTTACAGAAACTCTTCTGATAGAAGCCCTTAAAGTACCAAGCCTTAGGATGTTTTGGAGGCCAGGCCTGGAGGTTGAAGGTCGCCGTACTGTAGGAGGAACTCCTCATCCATGTCTGTTTCTCACGGACGAGACACCCTACTGTGCTTAGGGTTTAAAATTCAAGATTTTACGGCGCAGTCCACTGATTTCAAAGAATGGGCAGCAGGCACAGGGGGTTCTGCATCCGCTACGGACATATGTCAAAGAACACCCTGGATCAGCTGAGGACTGCGATGCCGACATCCAGCTGCGATTTGAGCATCCAGACGTGGCTTGTCTACGCCTTTATATGGGAGTTTCCGAAAAAAAGGGTGTACCTTATTTTGGGGTCCTTATAATGAGGATCCTATTGTTTAGGGTACTATCTTAGCGTCCCCTATTTTCGGAAACCGCCATATGTACTAGCTCGGTAAGACGGCCCTGTGTTGTACTGATCGGCAAGCCGTCAAGAGATACGGTTGATGATCTAAATCCTGCATTACCAATAATAAGGAATCTACCATAATTCCCGTAGTTTGGGGTCATTGAGGTCATGCAGGATTTATATCATCAACCGTAGCGACTCCGATTGGCACACTCTGTGCCCGAGTATTGCGTCGAGACTACGTTTGCATATAACGTGTCGTTACAGGAATTCATTGCTTCAAGTGGTGTGGTCGTTAGAATCACTTTGCTGATGCTGGAAAGTAGTATTGCATGATGGTAGCTAAACCCCTCCACCAAGGTCAGAGAATTTAGCATCACCCCTGATGGCCGTAAGCTGGGCCTTGGGCTTGAGATGAGCAAGATGACACCTAGCTCCCTGGCTTCCGGCATGGTTCCCGCCGCCGTCGTCGTAGTATCACGGATTTCTTTATTCGGGGGCTCTGTCAGGACTTTCTCTTCAAGGGGTTTCCACAGGATACAGCGTTTGCGCACGAGGGTGAGAGGCCTTAAACCCTAAACCATATGAGTATAGCTTGGAACTTGCTGTTGTCGTCTCGCTGGCCTTACCTGACAGCTTGTACCAGGTGACATGTGCAAAGTGCAATGTCAGTGACTCGTTGAACCAGTATCGCTACCGACCCTGCCAGGCTCGTCCGAGTGTGAGTGTCAAAAAACCCTCTGAGGAGCCTTGCCTGCCTTGTGCGAGCGTGAAACTCGAGAAACCCTAAACCCTAAACGCTGCCGTGTGGAGCCTTGCCGGCCTTGTGCGAGTGTGAGAGTCGAAACGCTGCCTGCTTTGAGCGAGTGTGTGAGTCGAAACGCAAAAAAGAGAGCGGCAGAGGGAGAGAGTCCGGAAGTACTGCCGGAGCCAGGCTTGCACGCAGAGGCGGACCCTCCCAGATCCTGCCTTGTCAAACGGCGCGCAGCGTAGCTGTGCTAGTTTGCTGCATGCAGCTTGACAGCCTCCGGCAAGCGGTCGAACCATGAAATGTTGCAACTGCGCCCTGAACCCTAAACCCTAAGCGGTCCACCATGATTATCACGTTCCAGGCGAGTCGTAGCGCGGTTTAGAAAGAAAACAAGGAGTAAGGTCTGATGTCCGGAGGTGTATCTTGCCAGCCGATCACCGGAAGTGAGCCTGGTTGTTTTGCCTCGGGATGATACTGAGGTTTGCGAGTCAGGAAGTTGGACCCGGCAGGTGCGGTGCATCTGAAGCTTTGACGGATTTGGCCATGAACTCCGTATTGCGATGCAGATGATGCGGGCGATGTTACAGCTGGTGTCGAGTGAACTGTTCCATCATCACCTCTAATCGAGATGAGTGGGGATTGCGAGGAAGGTCCTTTTGACGGGTGATAGCCCTGGCAGATCAGAGACGCTCAAGACAAGAGTGTAACCCAAGATGTACACAATGCAAATGACAAGCTATACATCTGTTCTCCTTCTTTGCTGCATTTTATCACCATAAGACTCATACGGGTACTGTGGCGGAGCCCTTCTCTTCTCTTGCGGTTCTTGGCTTTTTCCTTGTTCTTGTCGCTCTGCCTCTCTCTCTCCTTGCTGTGCGTCCTGATGTTTTAATTAGGCCTGCCGGTGTTGGGTGACCGCAGCTGAGGAGATGTTCAGAGGACAATGCCCCGCACATGAAGCCCCATGACAGGCAGGTTTGAGGGCTTTAGCGGCGGCTGCAGAGTTCATTTTTTACTCGCGGACGTGTATCTGCCAGCTGAGACTGTCTGGTGCAGGATAGTCCAGGTGAATGAGGAGAGTGACAACGTGGCGCGAATGGCTAAACAGATGGTGAGCCGTGAGGTCAGCTTCAAAATTTACCGGTATACACTGGAGATGGAGAGCGTGATACAAGCAATCTGATGCCCGAGTTTAGGATCCAGTTTCGTGCTTACAGCATGGGTGGCCAGGCAGCATAGGCGAATAGTAGTAGTAGTAGTAGTAGTAGTAGTAGTAGTAGTAGTACTAATACTAGTACTAGTACTAGTACTAGTACTAGTACTAGTATTAGTACTAGTACTAGTACTAGTAGTAGTA